TAATTTTGTAACTTGGTCCCAGAAGCTTTTAACTGCAGCACACTCCCACATCACATGAAGGAATGTGCCTACCTGATTTAGGGGACACAGTGAACAGTTGGGGCTTTTCTTTTTCCTAAATACAGTCGTGAACAAACTTAACATGTATAAATTGATGGTTCAGATTACGGGATGCCAAGGTCATATTTTTCCATATTCTGTTCCAGTTAAAGGGTTGTTCAGATTCACTTTGATTTGTGGACCATACATTTTTAATGGCTAGCTCAGAATGAGCTTTCCAAATGTGTTATATATATATATATATATATATATATATAACACATTTGGAAAGCTCATTCTGAGCTAGCCATTAAAAATGTATGGTTTCATAGTGCTATGAAAAAGTATTTGCCCCCTTTCTAATTCTTTATTTTTGCATATTTGTGATACTGAATGTTATCAGATCTTCAACCAAAACCTAATATTAGATAAAGGGAACATAAGTGAACAAATAACACAACAATTACATATTTATTTCATAAACAAAGTTATGCAACACCCAATTCCCCTGTGTGAAAAAGTAATCCTTCTACCCCCCCCCCCCCCCCCCAAAAAAAAAAAAAAAAAAAAAAAACATTGTAAAGTGGTTATCCCACTGGCTATAAGGTGAATGCACCTATTTGTAAGTTGCTCTGGATAAGAGCGTCTGCTAAATGACGTAAATGTAAATGTAATTGCCCCCTTACACTCAATAACTGGTTGTGCCACCTTTAGCTGCAATGACTCCAACCAAATGCTTGCTGTAGTTGTTGATCAGTCTCTCACGTCGCTGTGGAGGAATTTTGGCCCACTCTTCCATGCAGAACTGCTTTACCTCAGTGACGTGTGGGTTTTCAAGCATGAACTGCTCATTTCAAGTCCTGCCACAACATCTCAATTGGGATTAGGTCTGGACTTTGACTAGGCCATTCCAAAACTTCCAATTTGTTGCTTTTTAGCAATTTTCATGTAGACTTGATTGTGTGTTTTGGATCATTGTCTTGCTGCATGACCCAGCTGCGCTTCAGCTTCAGCTCATACACGGATGGTCTGACATTCTCCTGTAGAATTCTCTGATACAGAGCAGAATTCATGGTTCCTTCTATTATAATATAATAATAATATGCCATTTAGCAGACGCTTTTATCCAAAGCGACTTACAGTCATGCGTGCATACATTATTATTATTTTTTTTTGTGTATGGGTAGTCCCGGGGATCGAACCCACTACCTTGGCGTTACAAGCGCCGTGCTCTACCAGCTGAGCTACAGAGGACCTATTAAGGCAAGTCGTCCAGGTCCTGAGGCAGCAAAGCATCCCCAAACCATCACACCACCACCATGCTTGACCTTTGGTATGATGTTCTTACTGTGGAATGCAGAGTTTGGTTTTCGCCAGGCATTACTGGAACCATGTCGTCCAAAAAGTTATACTTTTGACTCATCTGTCCATAGAACGTTCTTCCAAGAGTCTTGATGATCATCCAGGTGCTTTTTGGCAAACTTCAGTCAACTTTTTGGACGAGATGGGTCCCATTATGCCTGACGAAAACCAAACACTGCATTCCACAGTAAGAACATCATACCAAAGGTCAAGCATGGTGGTGGTGGTGTGATGGTTTGGGGATGCTTTGCTGCCTCAGGACCTGGACGACTTGCCTTAATAGAAGGAACCATGAATTCTGCTCTGTATCAGAGAATTCTACAGGAGAATGTCAGACCATCCGTGTATGAGCTGAAGCTGAAGCGCAGCTGGGTCATGCAGCAAGACAATGATCCAAAACACACAATCAAGTCTACATGAAAATTGCTAAAAAGCAACAAATTGGAAGTTTTGGAATGGCCTAGTCAAAGTCCAGACCTAATCCCAATTGAGATGTTGTGGCAGGACTTGAAATGAGCAGTTCATGCTTGAAAACCCACACGTCACTGAGGTAAAGCAGTTCTGCATGGAAGAGTGGGCCAAAATTCCTCCACAGCGACGTGAGAGACTGATCAACAACTACAGGAAGCATTTGGTTGGAGTCATTGCAGCTAAAGGTGGCACAACCAGTTATTGAGTGTAAGGGGGCAATTACATTTACATTTACATTTACGTCATTTAGCAGACGCTCTTATCCAGAGCGACTTACACATAGGTGCATTCACCTTATAGCCAGTGGGATAACCACTTTACAATGTACAAAAAAATCCAGAAAAACGCATGTGAAAAATTTTATAAATTGATTTGCATTTTAATGAGGGAAATAAGTATTTGACCCCCTCTCAATCAGAAAGATTTCTGGCTCCCAGGTGTCTTTTATACAGGTAACGAGCTGAGATTAGGAGCACACTCTTAAAGGGAGTGGTCCTAATCTCAGCTTGTTACCAGTATAAAAGAGACCTGTCCACAGAAGCAATCAATCAATCAGATTCCAAACTCTCCACCATGGCCAAGACCAGAGAGCTCTCCAAGGATGTCAGGGATATGATTGTAGACCTACACAAGGCTGGAATGGGCTACAAGACCATCGCCAAGCAGCTTGGTGAGAAGGTGACAACAGTTGGTGCGATTATTTGCAAATGGAAGAAACACAAAAGAACTGTCAATCTCCCTCGGCCTGGGGCTCCATGCAAGATCTCACCTTGTGGAGTTGCAATGATCATGAGAAAGGTGAGGAATCAGCCCAGAACTACACGGGAGGATCTTGTCAATGATTTCAAAGCAGCTGGGACCATAGTCACCAAGAAAACAATTGGTAACACACTACGCCGTGAAGGACTGAAATCCTGCAGCGCCCGCAATGTCCCCCTGCTCAAGAAAGCACATATACATGCCCGTCTGAAGTTTGCCAATGAACATCTGAATGATTCAGAGTAGAACTGGGTGAAAGTGTTGTGGTCAGATGAGACCAAAATGGAGCTCTTTGGCATCAACTCAACTTGCCGTGTTTGGAGGAGGAGGAGGAATGCTGCCTATGACCCCAAGAACACCATCCCCACCATCAAACATGGAGGTGGAAACATTATGCTTTGGGGGGGGTTTTCTGCTAAGGGGACAGGACAACTTCACCGCATCAAAGGGACGATGGACGGGGCCATGTACCGTCAAATCTTGGGTGAGAACCTCCTTCCCTCAGCCAGGGCATTGAAAATGGGTCGTGGATGGGTATTCCAGCATGACAATGACCCAAAATACACGGCCAAGGCAACAAAGGAGTGGCTCAAGAAGAAGCACATTAAGGTCCTGGAGTGGCCTAGCCAGTCTCCAGACCTTAATCCCATAGAAAATCTGTGGAGGGAGCTGAAGGTTCGAGTTGCCAAACGTCAGCCTCGAAACCTTAATGACTTGGAGAAGATCTGCAAAGAGGAGTGGGACAAAATCCCTCCTGAGATGTGTGCAAACCTGGTGGCCAACTACAAGAAACGTCTGACCTCAGTGATTGCCAACAAGGGTTTTGCCACCAAGTACTAAGTCATGTTTTGCAGAGGGGTCAAATACTTATTTCCCTCATTAAAATGCAACTCAATTTATAACATTTTTGACATGCGTTTTTCTGGATTTTTTTGTTGTTATTCTGTCTCTCACTGTTCAAATAAACCTACCATTAAAATGATAGACTGATCATTTCTTTGTCAGTGGGCAAACATACAAAATCAACAGGGGATCAAATACTTTTTTCCCTCACTGTATGTAATTGTTGTGTTATTTGTTCACTTATGTTCCCTTTATCTAATATTAGGTTTTGGTTGAAGATCTGATAACATTCAGTATCACAAATATGCAAAAGTAGAGAAAATTAGAAAGGGGGCAAATACTTTTTCATAGCACTGTATATATACACACACACACACACACACACATACATATATAATAGAGATCAGTCCTTTCGGGAGCCAGATCATTTATTTATATGTATAAAACGATGGTTCGGTAGTTGGGTTTCCCATAAATTGTAGTAAAATCGTAGTAAAACGTTTGACAATTAAGAATCAAAATACCCAGAAACAGAAATATGCTATAGCCTACATTTAAAAAATACTTCTAGTGCTAAACATTGAACCGAGCAAGAAGAGAATGGAAACATAATTATAGCTATACATCATTAAATAAATAGAAACTCAGAGCTCACGTGTTATTTTTTTTCAGAAGCAAAGATGGACATGTAGTTAACGATAAGCTCTACTACTCACACGGCTGTCTGTCAGGCAGGGATGACCGTCCAATCATCTCCTGCTGGAAGTGAGGTTTCATTCGTCTGAGGGTCTAGAACAGCATATCCAAAACTAGGGGTCACCTGATTTGAAAATGGTGTCGCAAGAGAAACTCTGAAATAAAATAAAATGTGTGCTTGGTTCATAGAACCTCCACTAGCTGCTAGATGCAGTTTCTGTTTTCTTCCTACACGTGGCTCCATCTTTTGAACAGTTTAAGCTACAAAATATTATGACCCCATCACTGAAAGATACGACTCTCGGGAACACGTCTTCTGTTTCCCTCTACAATTCCCACTCATTAGAACAGAGTGGACAAGACCAGGCACTAAATCAGACTGGGGGAAAAAGAACATCAATGATGATTTTATTTTCTACACAGAAGATCATACAAAAGTATTACCTGACGGTCTTCTGAAATGTCCAATACCTTTCTGATGCATTGCAGTCAGTTCAAACCATACTTCCTTCAGACTGAAGTACTGTCAGACTGATTTGTAATAGATGTCATCGCCCTAAATGAAAAAGTAAACATTGGCCTTTGATTACATCTCCCTTTTGTTTTTGTTGTTGTTTTTTTACACATGGCGGGGCCGTGAAAAATGTTTGATATCAAAATGGGGTCGCGGGCCAAAAAAGTCTGGGAACCCCTGATCTAGAGAGACTGTAACTTTGTCCCAAATGGCACCCTATTCCCTATATAGTTCACTACTTTGAGCATGGCTCTGGGAATAGGGTGCCATTTGGGACACAACCTGTAGCTTTAGTCAGACATTGAGGTAATGGCCTCTTCAGTCTGCCAAGGTGTCCATTGCATGAAAGCCAGCGAACACGCCCATCCTTCAGCCGTCTGTAGCTAGGATCAGCACAGTCCCAAATATACCCACGTTATGCCCCATCAGCTTCAACTGGTTCCAGAACTCTACATGGCGCGTGTTGTGCCAGTAGCCCAGGTTACCGTCGATGAAGAGGAGGACAAGTGGCAGGACCACGGCCAGGATCTGTGAGGCCAGGCGGACGTAACAGCCAGAGAGGAAGGCCAGGGCCAGCACCCCAAACAGCACCACCAGCAGCATCAGGGTAATCTCCCCACCAGGGATGTGGTTTAGGTAGGCCATCCTATCCTCTTTACTATGCTGGAGCGAGTACACCTGGTGGAGGGAACACAGCGCTGCATTGAGTCGTTTCTTTAGACAGTCTACTACTGTATGTTTGTTGCACCTGTTTGTATAATGATTTGCTCTATATCGATCCATCTCTCTCATATCAACATTGACACTTGTCCTAATCAGACACTATTTAATCAGGGAAAATCTAGGCCTTTTGCTGTCAGGGTTTCTAGGTCTACAGTAATTGATTTTAAGGATGGAGGAGGGGGATTCCCATCACAGTGCTTATTTCTAGGTCAAACACTGTAGCTAGAAGTAGTTAGCTAAATCACTGTAGCAGGTTGTTTGTCTCACCATACAGATGAGGTAGACCCCTATGAAGACCTGTCCGGTGGCCTGCAGCGATCTGGTGCGATGTTTCTGTCTGTATACCTCCCCCGCACCACTGGCTAGGACCAGGAAACCCCCGATGATAGCCAGGGCTCTGGAGTACATCCTTACCTACAGATCACACAAGATACAGAATAGAGGTTGACACGGAAACAGGACTCCCACGGGTCCCACGGGATTCTGGCAGCAATGGGAGTCAAGTTCGGGACAGAATCAACAGTCCACAGGAATGGGCAGTACAGGAATAGTTATAAACAGAGTTTCTGGGGCGGGAATACTGTATGTCATGTGTGGAGCATTTCAGAAAAAACAACTGTAGGCTTGACCTAAATATCGTTTACTTAATAAAATCTATTTAAAAATGGGTAATTTCCCCCTCCCGCCAGTCACTATAGGCTACCTCAGAGGCCAATCTATGTCAGTAGGTTAAATGACGACGCCTTCAATAGAGGAATTGCAACGTCTTGTTGCAGCCAAGGACCTATCACTAACATTAGAGACTAGGAAAGAGCGATGTTTAAGCTACATTTGATGGAGTTGTCTTTGACAATGAAGGAACCGAGTACACGGCTTGTAAAAAAAATGCTGCGGTTTAATCAAATAGGCTACTAACAGGAGAGCGGGACAAGCGGCCATAGCTGCTCTACTCCCAACAACTTTACCGTCAAGCTCAATTGTTGGCGCATTTAACTAAACCCGTGCCATCTGAGGTGAAGAGTGAAATACAAAAAGATTGACTTATGCAGTACTGCCGCGCAGTTTATTTTAATGTTGTATTTGCATATTCATGTTGTTAATGTTAATGTGTTGTAAATGTTCATATGTGCGCAGTGCTCAACTGTAGGTTACAGTTTTATGCTGGTGCTGTGCTGAGCAGACCATCCTGCTGGGGTCTCCGTCCTCATCCTCCAGCCTTAATCCATCTTTAGGCCATTAAGAATACGCTCTTATCCAGAGCGACTTAGGCCTACAGTCAGTGCATATAACTAAAATGGGTAAAACAACCATATATCACAGTCCGATATTGGTTTACTGAAATAATGTAATACTTCCTAAACAAACACAATAACATACATATTTCTGCGTGCAAAAATGAGCACTGGACGGGAGTGATTTTTATCGGGAAGGGACAGGAATGTTCTGGGGTTATACAACTGTTTGTGGGATCAGGACAGTACAGGAAAATAATTGACAGGACGGGACAGGAATGCATTTTCACTCTCGTGTCAACCTCTAATACAGAAGGTCAGTTGAGCTTTCCTAGAGATGTGGTGAAGGGGGATGCAAAACTCACTCAATTTTTCCAACACAATATTTTAATTAATCCTAAAATAATATTTGTCAGGTCAGGTTTTTTGGCCCTGCACCCAGTATTACCCAATAAAAAGGTATGCACTGTTTGACTAAATACAGCCCACTACTCATTGTCTTCCGTCAGGTTGTGTCATTCCTACGCCACGCACCGTTCTCAGTGCAGACGGAGTTGTCACGCTATCTGATGTAAGTAAGACAATGGCCTACAACTACATTTCCTCTAGGGATGTCCACTCCACCTCGGTGCTGCTATGCACAGGCAGTACTCACCTTCAGCCAGTCACTGTAGTGCACCTGTTCACCGATATAAGAAGCGTAGGTGCTGATAGATAACTGTATGGCAGCACCCAGTGCAAACCACCTCCTCTTCACTCCAAAGGACATGAAGCTGGCACACAGCACTGATGCCCCCATGTCAAAGTACAGGTAGGGAACCTGGATGTCAGGTTTCCTGGAGATGAAGAGAGCAGAAAGTTAATTACAGCACTGACATTTTGTTATAATCTAAAATCAATGTTCAGATCCCAAATCAACTCTCATAGATTACACTCATGGGTAACAATAGCTATGATTTCATAACGCCAAAGAGATGAATGCACACTATTTGTAAGTCACTCTAGATAGAGCATCTGCTAAATGACTCAAATGTACATGACTTGGTATTCTTTGTAAAAAGCCTCTTCGGAATTATGAAATTATAGCTAGGGTAACAATAATACATGAATGTTACCTTCTCACATGGTATATAAGCCAATGTCAAGCAGTCACTGTATAGGAGTAACCTAGACCATATGACCTGATCAGAGTAAGGTAACTGGAGATGTCTACCAAATAAACTACAGGGTGGAACACTCATAATGAAAGATTAACATATTCAATATTTTATAGAGTTCTTTTAAAAACAACCAAATGAGCACGTTCATAAACCAGAAAACGGGTTAGTAAATAGCTGTCTGTCAATAAAGTAGCTAAACTAACAAGCAAAGTGACGCTGTAAAGCCAATCCTCTGGTTAGACTATTAGTAGCCCTAGAAAACTCTTGGTGGCTTTCTGCCTTCTCCATACAGTTCAGTCATTAACTTCGCCCAGGAGTACTCCATGTGAACTACAATCCCGCCGCTGTGTTTTAACGTTTAGAAACATATGGCCCTCATCTTTCATCAGCGAGAAAGAATCCTTCAAATAAAAAATATAAACTACACTGTAGCAGTTACAGATCCATACAGCTGTGGTGCCTCCATCCTACTAAACTACACTGTAGCAGTTACAGATCCATACAGCTGTGGTGCCTCCATCCTACTAAACTACACTGTAGCAGTTACAGATCCATACAGCTGTGGTGCCTCCATCCTACTAAACTACACTGTAGCAGTTACAGATCCATACAGCTATGGTGCCTCCATCCTACTAAACTACACTGTAGCAGTTACAGATCCATACAGCTATGGTGCCGCCATCCTACTAAACTACACTGTAGCAGTTACAGATCCATACAGCTGTGGTGCCTCCATCCTACTAAACTACACTGTAGCAGTTACAGATCCATACAGCTATGGTGCCTCCATCCTACTAAACTACACTGTAGCAGTTACAGATCCATACAGCTGTGGTGCCGCCATCCGACCAAACTACACTGTAGCAGTTACAGATACATACAGCTATGGTGCCTCCATCCTACTAAACTACACTGTAGCAGTTACAGATCCATACAGCTATGGTGCCTCCATCCTACTAAACTACACTGTAGCAGTTACAGATCCATACAGCTGTGGTGCCTCCATCCTACTAAACTACACTGTAGAAGTTACAGATCCATACAGCTATGGTGCCTCCATCCTACTAAACTACACTGTAGCAGTTACAGATCCATACAGCTGTGTTGCCTCCATCCTACTAAACTACACTGTAGCAGTTACAGATCCATACAGCTGTGGTGCCTCCATCCTACTAAACTACACTGTAGCCGTTACAGATCCATACAGCTATGGTGCCGCCATCCGACCAAACTACACTGTAGCAGTTATAGATCCATACAGCTGTGGTGCCGCCATCCTACTAAACTACACTGTAGCAGTTACAGATCCATACAGCTGTGGTGCCGCCATCCTACTAAACTACACTGTAGCAGTTACAGATCCATACAGCTATGGTGCCTCCATCCTACTAAACTACACTGTAGCAGTTACAGATCCATACAGATGTGGTGCCGCCATCCTACTAAACTACACTGTAGCAGTTACAGATCCATACAGCTATGGTGCCGCCATCCTACTAAACTACACTGTAGCAGTTACAGATCCATACAGCTATGGTGCCTCCATCCTACTAAACTACACTGTAGCAGTTACAGATCCATACAGATGTGGTGCCGCCATTCCTACTAAACTACACTGTAGCAGTTACAGATCCATACAGCTGTGGTGCCTCCATCCTACTAAACTACACTGTAGCAGTTACAGATCCATACAGCTGTGGTGCCTCCATCCTACTAAACTACACTGTAGCAGTTTCAGATCCATACAGCTGTGGTGCCGCCATCCGACCAAACTACACTGTAGCAGATACAGATCCATACAGCTATGGTGCCGCCATCCGACCAAACTACACTGTAGCAGTTACAGATACATACAGCTATGGTGCCTCCATCCTACTAAACTACACTGTAGCAGTTACAGATCCATACAGCTATGGTGCCGCCATCCTACTAAACTACACTGTAGCAGTTACAGATCCATACAGCTGTGGTGCCTCCATCCTACTAAACTACACTGTAGCAGTTACAGATCCATACATCTGTGGTGCCTCCATCCTACTAAACTACACTGTAGAAGTTACATATCCATACAGCTATGGTGCCTCCATCCTACTAAACTACACTGTAGCAGTTACAGATCCATACAGCTATGGTGCCTCCATCCTACTAAACTACACTGTAGCAGTTACAGATCCATACAGCTATGGTGCCTCCATCAGACCAAACTACACTTCCGCTACACTAACCGTACACACAGGTGTTGGGAGCACGCTAGATAGCTCATTAGGCAAACGCCTATGGTGGCAAGACTGATGAGGGTGGCATTTTCTGTGATGAACTGGCCAAGACGCACCTCCAACAACATAAAACCTGACAATTCTGCCCCAAAACAATTACATTTTCTCTCAACCAGTGGCATATGGGCTTTTTAGGTGAGCCCTGATGCTGCCCTATGATAAGCAATGGCCACTTTGTCAAAGGCGGGGACACAAAATATTTATCTTGTCCATTCCCAGCGCTCCTCTCCAGGGTGCTGTTGGAGAGACGACGCTGCAGCGCTCCACCAACATTCCGTCCCAAAAATGTACATAAATATTACGTGGCCTTTTCTGTAGCCTACAGGCTGGAGATCAAATGTATGACAATGTACTGAGATGGAAACATTTTACATCATGCGGGTTTCTCTGATCAAATAGCCTAGCCTAAATGGCGCCCAATCAAATGAAAAAAAAATAAAAAAATGGGCTGACATGTTAACAAACATTTCCTAAAAACAGGACAGGTCAAAGTAAAATGGAGAATATGGAATGGACAATCCGGCTACTCACAACTGCTGTCATGATCAGTGGTTACGTGTGTATCTGTAATTGTTTTACGAGCTGATCATAGCGAAAAATATATATACTTCTGCATTTCCTGCTGTGTAACATTGCAAATAAGCTCAGGACAACTCCTCCTGATAAAGTCGGGTAGCTGCTATTCAGAGCTTAAATAGCCAAATTGATTAGTCACAGGAATCAGAACTAATAAAGCCATAAAATTCCATTGCAGGCCAACATGGTAGCCTACATCCCAGTAAGCACGGACTGATGCCTTTTGGACTTCTTTTTTTGGTCCTGTTCGGACGTCTTTTTTTTGTGTTTTACAAATGGTAGGCATACCACAGATGGGCATTCCTAAAATTACATTTAAGGCAAAACTGTAGGCCAGGGATGGGCAACCCCAGTCCTCTGGGGCCTGATTGGTGTCATACTAACAAATCTGACACCAATAATCAACTAATCACAATCTTTAGTTTAGAATGCAATTAGTTTCATCAGCTGTGCTGACTTGGGATGGTGAAAAAGTATGACACCATTCTGGCCCCTGAGGACTGGTTGCCCATCCCTGCTGTAGGCTAACCCTTAGTAAGCAAGGACCGACGAGGACAACCTTTGGACGTCTTTTTTTTGGTACAGTCCGGACCAGCCTCGACTTCCACAGAAGTCGTTTTTTTGTCCGGACCAAATCTGAACCAATCATAGACGTCTATGTTTGGTTCAGATTTTGTCCAGTCTGGACTTGTCTTGATTTGGCCCAAACAGACGTCTATAAATGACATTTTCAACTTTAATTCAAAACCGAAAATGAACCTGATTTCAACATCCGGAAAATACGTATTTTCACCTTTTATTCAGAACCTAAATTTAACCTAACTTCAACATCTGGAAAAAATACGTATTTTAGACGTCTTTCCAACATCATTTTGCTTACTGGGACTATTGTAGGCAGCTCTTTTTTGTATTGCCTAGGGCAGCAGAATGGCCAGGACTGGAACAGACAATGACTCTTCTAATTAGCACAGGTGGTCACCTCTTGTCTTCAATAAAGAAGTGCTGTAACATGGAGATATGGCCTTCTGAGAACTCTAACAAGGTGTGTATCAATTTAACCTTTAGTTATTTAAAAAATATATATTTCTCGCAGCGAGGCGTGTTCAGATTGAGCGTCTGGCCTCTTAACAAAACACCCCACACAGAAGTCGCACTCGTCCAATGACACTTGTGTAGTGTAATGGAACTGAGAGTCATGATCTAGCCTACGACTGCAGAAACGTGACCTGTACTACCATAGCTATATATACACTGCACTTACCGTTTTACATCCGCACGCTCGGCAAAGAGCATCAGCATGGTAAAGCAGTTCCAGAAACCAAATCGGGTCAAAATAAACGCTCCGAATTGACAGAGAAGCCGGAGCACTTGCCTACTGCTAGGGGCAGCCATGATTGTTTTTTACCGTTTTCCGCCAGGTGTGGGCAAAAGCTTCACAACTTCCTGTCAAGAATTCTTCTTCGATTTAACGGCGGTTGGCAGCCAATAAATGTTGCATTACCGCCACCTACTATACTGGAGTACAACTCCATTATACTTTGCTTGAAAGAATAAAAAAAATACCCTACCATCGAACACTACACCCACAATATATATATATATATATATATATATATATATATATATATATATATATATATATATATATATATATATATATATATATATATATAATAAAATAACACCACCCTACTCCACTAATTAAATATATTTAGTCCTACCTCAGGCCAACAACCTGAAAGGATGGGACACCATCACTTAACACACCCTGTAACTCTTCTGATGTCAAGTCTCGCACACCGAAATACCTCTCTGCAGCTGCCAACACAACCTCAATTTTCTGCGACATACGTTCCATCCCTGCAGTACAGTTGATAACCATTGCTATAAATGCTAAAAATCCAATCTTACTGAAAAATATATCACTTATTATCCTACTGTACTGGTACAGATCTACTACTCACACCACTCCTCTCAGGATCCCTCCCCCTTGACCCATCTTCCTCTACTTTCTTCACTGCCTCAGCATATGAAAACTTCTGCACTACACTAACCCTGGAAACCTCAACATGCCTCTCTCGGACGGGACATTTCTGATCCCCAGCCCCATGGGCACCCCTACAATTAACACATACCACTACTTTCTCCAATGCTACACATTCCTTTGTCTCATGCCCTTCTGCACACTTCTCACACCTAGGAACCTCCCTCCTACACACTGCTGACACATGCCCATAAGCTTGACACCTGTAACAAGGTAATGTATTTGGCACAAAAGCTCTTACAGGATAACTTATATATCCTAACATCACTTTGTCAGGCAAAGACTCAACATCAAAACTCAAAAGAACAGACAATGACTATTCTGTTTCACCACTCACGCCACCCTGTCTGCGTCGCACCAAACAACAAGCATCACAAACACCGGGAATCTTCCCCTTCAGTTGGTCAACTTTTACATTTACCGCTACCCCAGTAATCACTCCTTTCAATGGCGCCCTTTTCTTGACCGCAAAACAATTCACATCTCTTGCCCCCATTCGTTTAACGCAGAGCGCCTGCTCCCTCTGACGAGCAGAAACACAAAACAATTATCACAAGACCACTTCTGGTTACCCTCACCAATTCCACAGCACCCAACTCTGTTTTCACCCACCCTGAAACCACAAATGGATCAGCCAAAAGGCAAGGGTCCACTTTTTCCAAAAGCTTCACTCCTACTGTCACAGACTCATCTTTATCCTGACCCTTGGTGCAAACCTCGGGCTCCAAGAACTTCACCACACCTACCACCTCCGATACTTCGCCCTCATTCACTTCCATTTCTCCTCCTGTCTTCAACTCACTCTGCTGATACTTTCTACCATTCTTCTTTAACAAACCATCTCCCTTTTCCCGCCATTTTTTACAGACTCAATCTCACCCTCTTCGTCCCTCTCTCTCTTAGACCTCCTCTGCCTCTCTTTTTCCCTCCATTCCTCCTCCGTATTCCAAGTATAACTATCCTTATGATAATATTGCACTTCTCCTGACATACATCTTGTTCTTGCCTTCTCAAGGGATGCCATTTAACCGGCTGTCACAATCTCTGTACAATCAGCACGAGCCCCTGGGGATGTAGCGCTCAACAGTGCATCCCACAGAGCGCGTAACAGAACAGCGCCCTCTGCTTTCTTCTTCCCTGTCAAGAATTTCCTAACGTTTTCAAAATAAAGGTTGACCATAATACATTAATATGGTCATTGGTCAAACTGCAATAATGCTTACAATGGATAAATAAAAACCAATGAGCATATTTAATTAGTTGAAATGACCAATGAGTGTGACTAAACTTGTTGGGGACTTTTATTTTGACGTATTCAATGTTTCCTTGCAGAAGCGTGATCCGATTGGTCACGTTCCCCTGCTCAGAAGTTGCATGCATCAACCAACGGTTGCATGCTACGTTATCGACCGTGTCATCGACTGACAGATTGCTATAATATATGATGTTGTTAGCAGATACTTAAAATACCTATCAAGGTGTTGTAACATTTGGCATGTGTCAGCGACGCCTGAGCAGAGAAACGTGCCCATTAACTGACAGATGCAGCCATGCTCTAGTCAACTTCCTCCTCCATAAATGTTGAGGGCACAATGCTTGAAAAAGAACAAGAGGAGCTCAGATGCAATAATTTAATAAACATTGTTTCAATAGCCAAGCTGTCTTCATCAGGGTATTATGACAAACACTGCGGGTCACTAGTTTATATAGTTTAAAAGGACACACAGGTGTCTGTAATCATGGCCGGCTGTGGCTTGATTTCATTGGTTGATTTACATATTTAAATAGAACATACAAAAAAGCATCAATAAATAAATGATAAACAATCATAGATACAATTTGGCAACATAGGCCTACAAACATTATTTGAAATGGATAGCAAAAACGCAATAATCACAAGAATGGCTTCAGATCAAACTCTACATTGAGGCCGAAGGGACAAGGGTCTTTAAATTAAATATCCATGCAACCTCTCGTTTTAACCTCTACGGGATCGGTGTCCCTATACCGGGACTGTTGCTGCTCCATATGCAATATGTGACTAGAATGGCATTGTAAACAACACCAACTTTCCAGGACATAGACATGTCTTACATGGGCAGAAAGCTTAAATTCATGTTAATCTAACTGCACTGTCCAATTTACAGTAGCTATTACAGCAAATAATTACCATGCTATTGTTTGAGGATAGTGCAAAACAACAAAACACTTTTGTCATGGCAACTGGTTTGATACATTCACCTCTGAAGGTAAATAATGTACTTACATTCAGTAATCTTGCTCTGATTTGTCATCCTGAGGGTCCCAGAGATAAAATGTAGCATAGTTTTGTTTGATATAATCAATTTTTATATTCAAATGTAGGAACTGGGTTCTACAGTTTTGGAGGGTGATGTATTCGATGCCGATGTAGCGGAAGGGACTAAATAGTGGTTCGCTTACAAAAAGTGTTCCGCAACTGGGTCCTCGAGCTTTTGCACCTAATGGTGCTACGATGCTCAGAGATTCTTCCTTTTAGTTCGTGCTTCGTTTTCCCCACATAATGTTTACCAGAAGGACAAGTTATAAGATAAATAACTGCGTGGAGCATGTGATAACACCTTTGATTGGGATCCTGTTTCCCTGTTTGGGGGTGTTTGAAGGATCTACATTTGTAAGTGCCATTGCATTGAGCACAGCCATTACACTTGTAGTTTCCATCCGGTGGAGGCGCAAATAGACATTGTGCGGGGGTATTTTGGGGTGGTAAATCAGAGTTTACCAATTGATCTCTGAGATTTCTGCCCTGCGAGAATACGTCCAAGGGCTCTTAGAATGTGCCAATGTTTGTGAACGATTCCCTTAAATTTGTTCAGAGCACTTTGAATAGAGCTTAGTAAGAACGCAAGAATGCTTATTTTTGTTTTGGATTTTCTCAATGGCAGTATTGATCTGACCTTTTTTGTACCCCCCTCTCAGCCGTGTTTCAGTCGAAATCGGATTTGTTTTTTTTCTAATTATTTTGATTCGACAGAATTGGCTGTATGGTAAACTGTTTTTCAAGGGAAGCGGGTGACAGCTATCAGCCCTCAAACTGTTACGATCAGTAAGTTTCCTGTAAAGATCAGTGTATAGAACATTATCCTCACACACAATCAAAAGTTATGTATACGGATTTGACGTGTGTCAGATTGCATAGTGAATCTCACGTGCTCAGAACAAGAGTTAAGAAAAGCATGGAATGCCTGGAGCTGTTTTGCATCACCCTTCCATAAAACAAAAAATATCATCAATGTACCGTTTCCAAATAATGTTAGGCAAAGAAACATTGAGAGGATTGAGAATTGAACTGGATTGAGAACTGTTTCTCAATGTAACCCACATACAAATTAGCATAGTTAGGAGCCATGGGGGATCCCATAGCAGTACCCTTCGTCTGGATAAAGAAATCGTTTTGAAACATGAAATAGTTACGTGTGAGTACGATTTCATGTTATAATGCGTGCACTGGAAGGTAGTTAATTTGGGTCACGTTGCAAAATTAAATGTGTCATGGCTTCAATACGGCCCTCGTGTAGAATATTTGTGTATAATGACTCAACATCAAAAGTAACTAACAAAGTATTCTCAGGGAGAGGATCAAGAGATTCAATGATAGAGATCAAACTGCTGGTGTCCTTTACAAAGGAGGGGAGCTGTTCTGCGAGTGGTCTAATAAAAGAGTCAACAAAAGTCGATAAATGGGTCCTTACTGCATCAATGCCAGCTACAATAGGGCGCCCTGGAGGTTTTGTAACATTCTTATGTAACTAAGGCAAAGTATAAAAAGTAGCAATTTTAGGCCCAATGAAACAAGCTGTTTGTGCATCACCCAAAAAGCAGTTGCTTACGTTTGCAATGGAACCTCAACTCACCGTTTAAAATTAAAAATAAATGAAAGAGAACTGAAATACAGTATCTACTTTCCTCGATTCCTTGCCTCATATCTCCTCGCCTCCTTTTCAACTGTATCAGAGTATATAAGTTGGGAGCAGTAATACTGACAAGAACATTGTTATATTTGGTCAAACTTGCTACCACCATATGAAATGTAGTGTTCTTCATTATGTTGCTTTTCCCATCATCCCAGAAACGGATCAGTGGGGAAGCTGTGCTCTTCTAACCTGCACAGTTCTCCCCACTGTCTATACATTTCAAAACAAGATTTAAATAATATTACACTTCTAAAATTATTTCAATCAAACAATATTAAATAAATCTGTAGTAGGTTCAATGTTATTCAACTGAAGTGGAAAGACTGACATTCATTGAACTGGTGCTTATTTTGTCTCCAGCGGGTTACTTGGTGACTGGGAGAAGTGGGCACCTAAGGGGAT